CATCGTAATCATCTTGTTCAAACGGATTTGGGCGTAGTTGTTGTAAACTTTGGCGCTGAAATTCTCTAAACCCAGTTATTGTGTCTGTTAGCGTTCTTTCAAAAGATTGTTTTCTTCGACTTCCACATAAACCACTCACGGTAAAGGAACAAGAGTTTCCCGTACCCCTTTGTGTAGTACTTCCCCGTCTTCCTCTACCTCGTGGTTGAACTCTAGAATCAGGAATTTGGATCGGATCAACCGTTGACGAAGTATGGCGCATATGTGCATTGGTAAACTCATTTAAAGGACTTATCTCATCATCAATGCTAACACGATACACCTCTTTATTTTTTTGTGTTTCTGGAACTTGATTGTCTGCACCATATGGTTCTGAGTAGAAATCACCTTCATCGTGGGATGGACCCTCGTTAACCATCTATTCTCTTCGTTGGTTCACAGAGTATTGAGCTTGTGATTGATTGTTGTATAATTTGAAACAACGTTGCATCACATCCCAATGATCTGGCGGCTTTCGTTTAAATGATTTTATAATTTTACATACKTGTATGAAARATTTTAAAGTTTTTAATTAACAATTTTTTGTATACATAAAATTTACTTTATTTTTTGCTGTAAAAAAGATCATGCGTACTTACTTCACGATCTTTCCACCATGATTCATATGCACTTATCACAGATGTAATAGGATCAACCACGATCCCGGTAGACTTCAGCATAATACTATACTTCTTGTACTTTCTTTTCAATTGATCAAGTTTTTCTTTGAAGAATTTGTAGCTGATATTAAGATGGAACTCCTCGTTGAACTTTTGAACTATAAACTCTTTTGCAAATGGTGAAAGATCTTTTATACGGTAAGTATTCATCGCAATTCCTTGGTCGCACAAGTCAAGAAACATTCTTTCTCGACTTGGAGTCCATTTAAAATTGTCTTCCGTCTACAAATTGTGAACATTTGAGAAAATATATTTCATTTTGGTTTTAAGTACAATAATTAAAAAAGTATATAATTTTACCCGTGCTGATGTTTTTGTAGGAAAACTTGTATCTGCTTCATTGGATGAATTTATGTTTTGTCGACGATTAGACGCCATCTCTACAAATTTGAAAATAATATTACTTTTGTAACATACAAATTCTAAGTATGTATATAAGAAATAAGAAAATCTTATACTAAATCTAACTCTTTACTTTCTGTATTATTAAGAATAAATCATTTTAACTCATAATAATTACAAGTAAATATAAATTACAACATAAGATGTATAAAATTGTTATCCTACTTAAACATGCATATTATAAAAAAACATATTATTTTATAAATTATATACTGGATTATTATTTGTAAGAATATAGTTATCTTGAACTAAAAAGTAATATATTTGTTTCTACACTACTTAAACTATTCTCTATGTTTCAAATTATATATATTTATAAATGATTTGTGAATTAAACAAATATAAGTAATTATTTAAAAATATAAAATTTATAAATATGCTAATTGAATATACTAATATATTAAAATAAAAACAATCTCATGCCACTAACCATTTACTAAAAGTTATTCAATGCAAAATAGGTAAATTATTTATGAGCAAACAAAATAAAATTTATGTTTTTTTTGTCAAACTTTTTTTTGTCAAACTCAGAAYAAYAAGGAAAAAAAAAGAGTTAAAGATCATACCTTTAGAGAATAAGTTTTTGTATTCAACTGAAATTTTTTTAAGTGCTTGACTATGCAAAAAAAAAAGAAGTACTCGAGTAATTTTTTTTTGAAGTGTATATGAAAGAAACTGGGAAGTGATAATTTATAAGCAAATTTTGGTTATCATTAAAAAAAAAAACTAAAAGCAAAACTGCTTAAAAGTGGATCGATTACCCCCTTCTCCAAGTGGATGAAAAATCTGCTAGTGCATCATATTATCTTCAATAATTTGTCCTGCAAGTGGTTCACATA